CGCCCTCTGCTTGAGCCGTGCCCGCTTTGCCTGGGATGTGCAAAGCAATAACCCGCTCTCCAGAGACTTGGGTCTGTTGGACCTATTCTTGGTTGGTTTCTTGGTTGGGGGTTTTTTTCTTCAGGCAGTCTTAAACCAGCAAACCTGCTGCTGGTGTAGGGGGAAGCCAGGCTCTTCCCTGTGCTTGGGGCTCAGTCCCACTGTTTCTTCTACTTTGTGTCTGTTTAAAGCTGCTGTGTCCTCCCCTCCCCTGCTTGCAGCGGGTGGGAGGGGAGGCGAGGGGCTGGCAGGGGCCGGGGAACGCCAACTACATTGGGGCTGGCAGACGTACCGACCTATTTGACTGTGAACTGGAACCTTGTGTGTTAGCGAGGGGCCAGCGCGGGCCCAGGACTCGTGGCCATCCTCAGGCACAGCGTGGGTGGCCGCGCTGGCCTGTTCGCAGAGCATTCCTTCTCGCTCCCTGCGTGAGCGGCACGGCACGCGTCTTGCTGGGGCGGCCAGGGCTGAGGCCGTGCTGAGGACCCGGGAGGGAGAATGGCTTCTCTCCATTCCTCAATACAGCTATTTTTTTTTCCCTCCTCCTCTCTTTCGTCTTCCTTGTACACGTTTGGGGGTTTTCTGTGTGCGTTCCACAGAGTCAGATACAAGGTTAAATAAATCATAAACCTCTCCCAGAGCTGAGCTGGCGTCATTCATGGCTGGGCAGGAAGGCCGTCAGCACCTCCTTAACAGAGGCACTGGTTCACGGGCGAGTGGATAAGTATGACACCCCAGGGTGCCTTTTCTGGCTGCTGGGGCCCCAGGTGAGGCAGCTCTCGTTGAGGGTAAGCAGAACACAGCTGCTGCTTAGAAAGTAAGAAAGTTTATTTAAAAACAAATCAAAAGCCCCATTCATAATTTAGTAGCATAAGTTATTAATCTAAGTGACAGCAAACCAGGCTGGCTGCGTCATCACTGCCTAATGAAGGCGTTAGAGCTGCCGGTAATAAATAGGACCAGTATTTGACAGCCAAGTGGAGCCTTCTCCTGGACAGCCCTTGGCAACACGATTACGGAAGTGGCTGCCCCAGGCAGCTCAGAAGCAAAACCGGACACCAGCCACCTCTGCATTCCTGACACCCAGCCCGGAGACATGGCTCTCGGGGGCTGGGGGAGCCGCGTGGCCAGAAGCAGGGCTGGTGGCCGCGATTGCTCGCACAAGCACTTTAGGGTTTCTTGCCTAACCCGTGCCTGGGAGCAGAGGGAGTAGTGCTGGGTGCGGGCTGCGGGCGTGGGCTCCGCCGGCCTGGCAGGAGAATGTGGCAGATGCAAATCGGGCCCTAGGCCTGCAATGGGGGTGGGGGAAGCAGGGCAGCCCCCACCCGCCAACAGGGCCCCCGTCCCCAGAGCGCTGGGCTGGGGGAAGGAGCCACGCTACCTCCTGGGCCAACAGCCTCAGGCTGCGACTGCGGTCCCTGCAGGGCTGAGAAGAAGAGGTGGCAGCCTGAGGCCATGAGGTAGGTAAGGGAGATGGCAGCCATCTCTGGTCCCCAGGAGTCTCCCCCTGCTCCCAGACTTGGGGAAGCAGAGGGCCAGGCCAGGGGCAGGCTGGGAAGGGGATGGCCTAGGAGCAGCTCCAGCAGCAGCCCCAGGGCCTAGCTAAGCACCTTCTTGCTGGGACCAGCAGCAGCCCCCACAAGGGGCTTTTCTGGCCTAGGTGCCCAGGCTGGGCCCTAGATCTGCTTTTCCTTGTCTTCCTGGTCTATGAGATGAAGAGGACCTGGGGACAGGGGGAAGAAGTACAGGGAGGAGGCTGAGGGACCTCCTGCCCCATGCAAAAGGTGGGTAGGGGTTGGAAAGTCATCCAGGATTATCACAACCTCACTGGGACCTTGGGAGGGTGCAGGCAGCGCTGCCCAGTGAGGGCCCACGGCAGTCGGGCATGCCTGCGGGGCCCCCAACCCAGTTCAGTTCTTGCTGAAGCCTGCGGGATTCTGCAGCTGCCATCGCCACAGGTCCTCACCTACAACCGGAGAGAGACACGGGTGAGGGATGGGGCAGGAGGGGGCAGCCAGAGGTGGCACGGCAGGCTGGGAAGGGGTTTACTCTTACACATCTTGTCCAAGCCAAAAGCAGCTTTCCAGCCCAGCTCACGCTCAGCCAGCGCTGGGTTGGCATAGCAGGAAGCCACATCTCCCTCCCGCCGGCCTGTGATCTTGTACTTGATCTGTAGGAAAAGCAGCACCATGGGGTCTGGGGGCTCCCAGGGCTCAGCAGAGGGGACTCACACCTGCCCCAGTGCCCAGGAGTGGGGACGGGGACAGGAGCTGCAGTCTGGGAGCTGCAGGAGTGCTGCCAGCAGCTGCCACACACACAGGCTGCCAGAGCAGGGGTTGGCTCTGTGCTCCCTGCAGGCTGTGGGTCCAACCTTACCTCCCTCCCTGAGGCTTTCTCCATGGCCCGGACCATCTGCAGGACAGAGTAGCCGGTGCCTGTGCCCAGATTGTAGATCTGCAAGGAGGATAAGGGACAAGCGTCAGCTCCTTCTGCATGGGCAGAAGGGTAAGGGTCCCCCGTTAGCTCCCTGCAGGCTGCAAGAGCTCAGCCTGGGCCTGGCCCCTGGGGCTTTTTTCATCACAAGCCTTGGGGGAACAGTCCATGCAGCCGCAGCCCTGGCTGGGCTGCACTGGGCTCCCAGCGGGTTCGGAGTGGGGAGAAAAATCACTGCTCTCCTTCTCTTCCTGTCCCCTCACCCTGCAGCCCTCCGGGGGGGGGGGGGGGGGGGGGGTAGAGCAAGAGAAATTTTGCAAATTCCCATTAAGGCTGAAGACTTATGGGCAGTGGGGACAGATGGGCCTGCAAGTACAGCCTAGAGTTGGAGGCAGCCGGGGGAAGACAGGTCTGCCCTATCCCTGGGTGCAGGACTGGTCAGAGCCCTCCCAACTCCACCCTGGGCCTGTGCCCATGGGGCTGTGGGTCCCCTGCAGTGCACAGAGCACCCAGCACCCGTCCCTGCCCCACAGCCACAGCAGTCTCGATACCTTGCAGCCGCAGTTCTCTTTGAGCTTCTTCAAAGCAGCGATATGGCCCTTGGCCAAATCCACAACATGGATGTAATCCCTGACACCTGCGGGGAGATGGAGGTTGAGCGCCGAGCCCTCCTGCCCAGGGCACAGCCAGGCTGGAGAGCTGCTCTGCCTGCCCAAGGGGACAGGATGTCTCCTCCACGTCCTGGGGAGCCGAGCTGCGACGCACCCGTTCCATCGTCCGTCTTGTAGTCGTCCCCAAACACGCTCAGGACGTCCCGGCGCCCCACCGCCACCTGCACAGAGACAAGCCTGTGAGAGCCCAGCCAGAAATGCACAGAAAACATGAACCCTAGGGCCTTCAAAGGCTGCAGCTGGGCAGTACCTGAGCCACATAAGGCATGAGGTTGTTTGGGATCCCCTGAGGATCTTCTCCGATCATGCCTGACTCATGGGCACCGATAGGGTTGAAGTAGCGCAGGATAACGGCGTTCCAGTCCTAGGGAGACACAGACACGCGGGATTGTCTGGGGAGGGTGTAACATTCCCAGCAGCAGCCCCAGGTCTGTTCAGGGGTGTGGGGAGCTGTGCAGCACTGCCTGGCCTGGCTGGGCAGCTGCAACCCCAACCCTGGCGTGCTCTGAGGGGAAATGCCTCAGCTCCCAGCCCTGCACGCCTCAGGGTGGCTCATCACCTTCTCTGCTTTGCAGAGATCTCGAATCATCTCCTCAATGAAGTACTTGGATTTGCCATAGGGGTTGGTGCAGCCTCCAACCGGGTGGTTCTCATCCAGGGGCAGGTATTTGGGGTCTCCATAGACAGTGGCAGAGCTGCTGAACACGATGTTCCTCACGCTGTGGGCTTTCATGGCCTGGGGAAGCAAGGACCATCCACCACTGAGCCAGAGAGTGTCATGCCCCTCATCTAAGCCACATGGCTCAACTCTCCACAGACACCTTATGGGTCACGCCGGGCAGTGCTGAGTCCTCACAGGGGCTTAGGGGGTTCAACCAGCCCAGTCCCCAGCCGTTCAAGAACCGCGAGCAAAGATTTTGTGCTTTCTGCCCTCATGGGAACAGGCAGGCAAGACCTCTGCTAGCACCAGTCACCTCCTCTCCATGCAGGCAGCATCCCAGCGAAGGCCTTTTAACCCTGCCTGTGCAGCACCGGAGGGAGCTGCAGCGTGATGGCAGGAGTCACCCACTGCTGGGTTCCTCTGCCCTCTGGACTCCACGTTTATTGAAATGGGCCAGCAGCCCCCTGCCACCCCCTGCCCAGCAGCACCCACTGCACTTTGCTCCCCAGGCAGCCGCTTCCCCCCAGGCCACACATAGCTCCGAGCACCACATGCTGCCTCCTGGCTCTGCTCACCTCCAGCAGCCGGATAGTCCCAGTGAGGTTCACCCTGTAGTACTCCAGGGGCTTCTGCACAGACTCCCCCACTGCCTTCAGCCCTGCAAAGTGCATCACGGCCGAGAAGTGGTGCTGGAGCGGAAGGACAAAGCCCAGTATTAGTGCCACAGCAAAAGGAGATTGAGGGCAGCTCCTGGTTTTCCATCACTGATGGTTCTGGGTCCAAAGGGGGCTTGTCAGTTAAGGTTAATTTATTCTGTGATAAAAGGAAGGGCCTGCATTGTCAGGAAGAACATCTCCTTCAGAGGGAAAGGCAGAAGCCAGTCAGAAGTCTCTCCCGGAGCACCACTCACCCACCTCACATGGTCTCCATTGCCACAGAGGAACATTCACTGGTCACAGCATCCCCTCAGTGCTGTCCTCTGCCCTCACCTCCTGCCTTGCTCACCTCCCTCTTCTGCATCCCACCCCCCAGCACAAATCCCTTTGCACTGCCCCATTCCTCAGAGAGCCCACAAGGCCACCTTGGGACATCACAGCTCCTGCTCTCACCTTGCTGAAGAGCTCCTGCAGCGCTGCCTCATCTGTGATATCCAGCTCCTGGAAGAGGATGGGCTGGTGCACGATCTGCTGCACACGCCGGAGGCTTTCAGGGAGCGCATCTGCCCCTGGGGAAGCAGAGAGGGGTTAGGCACTGGGATAAATGAGTTCCCGGAGCAGGCTGACAGGGGCTGAGCCCTTCGCATGAGGGGGGACAAAGGTTTTCCATACCTCGGATAGCATTGTGAAAGTTGTCTATGACCACAGGGACATAGCCAGCCTCCACCAGCTCCAGCACACAGTGGCTGCCAATATAACCAGCTCCACCAGTCACCAGGATCTTCTCTGCCATTGTTACCTGGGGAGGGAAGGCCACTCAATGCAGAGCTCAGCATGGAGTGGCCTGATGCCTTACAACGGCCGGGAGCTCTAGCAGGGCAGGGTGGGTTTGGAGGCTGTCACGTCAGGGCTGTCTCTAGGCCCTCCCAGCCTGGCACTGGTCCAGAGAGGAACCGGCTAGACAGGTCCTAGCACACCCTTGTCCACGTGGACCACGCATCCGGGTCTGGGAGGGTTTATTGCCTTTCTGATACTTGTCACAGGTTGAATCCAACCAAGATCCTGGTGTCACCCATATCCTTCATCACAAATCCCTCAGGGTAATTAGTCCCTAAGCACAGGCATCACCTAACGGCATTCATTTTGGTGTCACCACAAGGGGTATCAGCTCTGTCCTTTTCACATTGTTCCCCGTTTTCTCTCCAACTCCAACAACGCCCCCTCCTCTACAGTGGTGCCCCCAGTCCTTACAGCTTCCCTTCCCAGACCCAGCTCTGGCCCCTCTCTACTTCGGCTTCCCAGGAAAGTAGGTGCTGGGTCACTGCAGATTACAGGGAGATTTGCTGGCATACACAAGCCCAGCAGGAACGTGGAAAACATCCTACAAAGGAACCTTTGTCCCTTGGAGCAGAGAGCTAAGAAGACACTAGCCCCAGTTACCTACAGCCCAGCAGTTCTTGCTGCTCCTACCCAGCGGGAAGGAGGAAGAATTAACTTTATTATCAGAGAATATGGAGACATCACAGGGAAAACTTCCTCCCTGAGTGACTTCAGGGAAAGTCACTCTCAGCACAGGGTCTCAAACTCAAAACCACCCAGCTAAAATCATTAAATAATCCTCTGTGAAAAGGCCAGCAGAAGGCTGGGTTCTCTTGCCAGGCTGCCCAGTCCTGCTCCAGCAGCCAGCAAGGGCATCCCCGGGGAGTCACAGCCCAAGTCAGGCATGGCAAGGGCTGGGAAAAATAAAATAAAGCTGCTCTTTGTCCAGCAGATGAGCAGTAAGCGGGACAGGGCATGGCCACTGGGACAGGGTGTGACCATGGCACAGCTAGTGGTGCAACAGGGCATGGCCAGCGGGACTGGGTGTGGATGTGGCAGAGCCGGCGGGATAGGCACGGTCAGCAGCATGGGGTGCAGACGTGGCACAGCGGTGGGATAGAGTTACCTGTGAGGCTGGGGTTACATGAGGGGGCCAGGGGTAACCTGAGGGCCAGTGGGCCTGGGCCTACCTGTAGGGGCAGGGGTCACCTGCGGGGCTGGGAATTACTTATGGGGCTGAAGGTTGGGGCCAGGCATTACAGGAGGGCTAGAGGCTTGCTTGAGAGGCCAGCGGTTACCTCAGGGTCTGGGAGTGGGATTGCTGCAGGGGTCGGGAGTGGGGTTCCCTGAGGGGCCGGGGGTTCCCACCTGTGGGGTGGGAACCGGGCTTACCTCCGCGGCCAGGGGCAGGTTTGCCTCAGGGGCAGGTTTGCCTCAGGGGCTGAGGCCGGGTTTACCTCAGGGACGGGGCTCCTTGGGGGACTGAGACCGGCGTAACCTCAGGGGCCGGGCTAGGCCGCG